CTGTCACTGAGTTCCTTTGCTCAAGCTAGCACTCTACCACGTGAGCCACAGCACCACTTCCAGCTTTTTTTTTTAAGCCAGTCAAATTTATCAGTGTGGGGGGTTGTATAATAAATTCTTTTTTTTTTGTATAATAAGTTCTGATAACCCACTACCATCGGACCAGCCACCACTTCCAGCATTTTTCTGTGTATGTGGTACTGAGGAATCGAACCCAGGGCTTCATGCACACAAGGCAAGCACTCTACCACTAAGTCACATTCCCAAACTTCAACCGATATGTCTTATGTTGCACAATAAGGGAATAAGAGAGGGGAAAAAAACAACCAATGGTAGATAGACAGTCAGATAGGTATCTGTTTTGGTTGGTCCTGAGACTTGAACTCAGGGCCTGGGTGTTGTCCTGGAGTTGTTGTTGTTGTTTTTTCTCAAGGCTAGTGTTTTTTCACTTTGAGCCACAGCTCTACTTCTGGTTTTCAAGTGGTTAATTGGACATAAATGTCTCATGAATTTTCCTGCTGTGAGAACTCAGTTTTCCATTTCTTGTTGACCCCCAAGAACGAATCACTAGCCTCCAGCTGACAGTGGAATGCTGTCTGCCTGGTCCTAACCATCTTTGATAATCAGTAGTGGTAGAGCACTCCTGACCCTAATGGCTACAGGACACTGATGTCTAGCAACTGTGAAGTGGCCATCTGTGTGTGGTTTTCTTTGTCTCTTTGTCTTTGCCCCTTTGGAGGTTGCTGCTACTCTTAGTTCTGAGGACTAGGCAGTCAGTCACTGGCCAGCTAATAAAACTCCTTTGTTGAGCCGAGTGCCGGTGGTTCATGCCTGTAATTCTAGGTACTCAGTAGGCTGAGATCTGAGAATCGTGGTTCAAAGCCAGCCCGGGGAAGAAAGTCTGTGAGATTATTTTTTTTTATCAGTCATGGGGCTTGAACTCTGGGCCTGAGCGCTGTCCCTCAGCTCTTCGGCTCAAGGCTAGCACTCTACCACTTGAGCCACAGCGCCACTTCCAGTTTTCTGCTGGTTCATTGGAGATAAGAGTCTCATGGTCTTTCCTGCCCGAGATGAACTGTGATCAATCCTCAGGTCTCAGCCTCCTGAGTAGCTAGGATTACAGGCATGAGCCATCAGTGCTCAGCTAAGTCCGAGAGATTCTTATGTCCAATGAACCACCAGAAAACCAGAAGTGTGCTGTGGCTCAACAGGTAGAGCACTGCCAGGTGCCGATGGCTCACACCTGTAATCCTAGCTACTCAGGAGGCTGAGATCTGAGGACCATGGTTCAAAGCCAGCCCGAGCAAGGAAAGTCCGTGAGACTCTTAGCTCCAATAAACCACTAGAAAGCCAGAAGTGGCGCTGTGGCTCAAGCGGTAGAGCGCTCGCCTTGAGCTGAAGAGCTGAGGGACAGCGCCCAAGCCCAGAGTTCAAGCCCCATGACCAACACCCCCCCAAAAAAAGAGGTAGAGCACTAGCCTTGAGCTAAAGAGCTCAGGGACAGTGCCCTGGCACAGAGTTCAAGCCCCACAACCAAAACAAACAAACAAACAAAACCCCAACTCCTTTGTCACTTTTGACTGTGCCTCCATAGATCTCTGGACTCCAAGGTCATTATACTGCCTGGTCTGGTTTTGAACCATGATCCTCAGATCTCAGCCTCCTGAGTAGCTAGGATTACAGGTAAGCCACCTTCCCAGCCTGGGGCTGGCAGATTTTTTTGAGTCTATGTAGCCCAGAGTGGCTGCAAACTCTTAGCCCTACTGCTTTACCCTCTTGAGTACTGGGATTACACACATGCATACCATATCTGGCTGAAAAGTGAGGTGTTTGCCATGTACACACAGAGCACTAAAAAAAAGAAGATAGTCGGGTATTGGTGGCTCATACCTGTAATCCTAGCTACTCCTGAGGCTGAGATTTGAGGATTGTGGTTCAAAGCCAGCCTGGTCAAGAAAATCCATAAGTTTTTTTAAATTTTTTTTTAAAATTTTTAATTTTCTTTTAAAAAAATTTTTATTGTAAAAATGTTGTACAGAGTTGTTACAGTTACATGAGTAGGGTAATGAGTACATTTCATAGCGAGCATTGTTATCTCCTCCTTTGTTTTCCCCCAACCATCACTTCCCTCCCACCTCCCCAATTCCTGCCCCCCACCTCGACATTGTAAAGTTAATTTTCAACAGTGTCCTGTACATCTCATCTTCACAATAGGTCAGCCTGTATCTCCATTTAAGAGTTCCCCAATATCCCTTCCCCTCCCAAAATTACAAAAATGAATATACAAGGTGCAGAACACTGGCATCAAATCCAGCGAGAACAGGGGTTACACTGTGGGGGAAGAACATACAAAAGAAACAAAAGAATCACATAGTGCATTGTAAGTACATTAAAAACAGTAGCAAAGGGGCTGGGAAGGTAGCTCAGTGGTAGAGCGCTTGCCTTTCATGCATGAGGCCCTGGGTTCGATTCCTCAGCACCACATAAGCAAAAAGGAAAAAAAGCCAGAAGTGGCACTGTGGCTTAAGTGGTAGAGTGCTAGCCTTGAGCTGAAGAGCTGAGGGA